GACGTCAGCACCACCGAGATGAGGCTGGTCCACCTGGACCTCAAGGGAGCTGCGCCCAGGGTCTCCTACCTGGAGCAGGTGAGGATGGCCGGGGGGACCGGCGAGGGGTGCTGGTGATGGACGTGCCGAGGGGGCAGAGGCAGAGCGATGCCCGACCTGCCGGCTGTCCCTGCTGCCCCGGGGACTGTGCCATGCCAGCCGGCTGAGCCCGCTGTGCCCGTCCCGCAGGTGTTCCCCCTCCTGTCCCAGCTGGGAGCCAACGGCGTCCTCATGGAGTACGAGGACATGTTCCCCTTCAAGGGGGAGCTGGAGATCCTCAAGTCCCCGTATGCTTACAGGTGAGCCGGGGCTGTGTGCGGGGCGGGCCGGGGGGCTGAGCAGGTCCCAGTGTGCCAGGGGCTGGGTGTGACCTGCCTGGACCCATGCCTGCGATAACCGTGGTCAGAGTGCCGGGCTGTGCCACTGGCAGAGCAGCTTCCTGCCCCACCGGGTCAGTATTTGTGTCCCCGTAGTAAAGTCCACACAGGCGTGGGGCGGCTGTGGCTATGCAGGCAGGGTGCCAAAGGAGGAGGAGGAGGAGGGAGTGTCCTCACCACCTGCCTTCTGCCCTGGCATCCCCTTGTGAGCCTGTCCCTGCCTCTTCAGCGAGGAGGACATCGAGCGGATCCAGCAGCTGGCGGAGCTGCCCAAGATGCAGACCTTTGGGCATGTGGAGGTAGGGAGGTCCCCGTCCTGCTTCTCATCCTGCATCACGGGGGGTTCCCCCTGGAAACCCCCCCTTAACGCTCATCCCACGCAGTTCATCCTCAAGCACGAGAAGTACCAGCGCCTGCGGGAGGTCGAGCGCTTCCCCAACAGCTTCAACCCCCACGTCCCCGACACCCTGGCCCTGCTCAAGAGCATCTTGGCGCAGGTGATCGAGAAGCACAAGCGCTCCACCTGGATCCACATCGGCGCGGATGAGGTGGGCTGTGCAGGGACCCCAGCCCTTGCCTCGGGCACCAGGTGTGCTCCCAGGGGTGCTGAGCATCCCCCTTCGCTCCTCAATCCAGGTCTTCCATCTCGGGGAGGGGATGGACTCCAAGAACTGGATGAGCCGCAACAAGGGCGACACGGGGACCCTGTACCTGAAGCACATCAAGGAGGTGCTGGGCTTCATCACCACGCAGTACCAGGGGCTGCGGGTGCTCATGTGGGACGACATGCTGAGGAAGATCAGTGTGGGAGCCCTGCGGGGTGAGAGAATGGGGATGGCAGCGGTGGCACCCGAGCTGGGGGTCTCGGCAGCTCCTGTCCATGCGATCGCCCTGGCAGGTGTCATGCCCAGTGCCCGGTGGGAGCCCATGTGTAGCCCTGTGAGGACACAGGTCTTGGGCGAGCATGAGGAGCCCCAGGCATCCTCCTGCCACTGGCACCAAGTGCCCACAGCCCCATCCCTGCTGCCCTACAGAGTCAGGGATAGCAAAGCACGTCTCACCCGTGGTGTGGTTCTACGCACCTGACTTCGACGTTGAGCGGATCGGTAAGGCTGGCATGCTGGGCTCCCGGGGCTGGCGGGGGGACACTCCACCCTGAGCCCTCCCCAGCC